ACTACGGAAGTAGGATTGCCCAACCTTCCTCAGAAGGAAGGTTGGGCAATCCTACTTCCGTAGTGATACTAGAAGGGTCCATTCCTGGAGAAGGATACCATGCTTGGTATAGTGGAGGGTCAGTGAAAAAGGGGAAGACCTCAACAAGAAGGATTGACACAGTGGCTGCAAAGATGGGCTTAGATATAGCAAGGGCTGCGAGGCTGGCACAGGACTGAGCAGTGTTTTGTTCTATTGTGCATAGGGTCACTATGAGATGACTCGATGGCACTTAACAACAGCAACAACAACATGAGTGACTTTTGCTCCATTGCCTGTTCAGATGCTTATCCCTGAGAGCATGATATGCTAATGAAGGAAATGTGTGTATCAAAGAATGGAAGTGATAATAGAATGAAGAACGTTTCTCTTAAAAGGAGTGACGTATGTACAGATTTTGAGTACCGATCATTCCTCAAATCTTCTGTTTGCCTATTATAGCTTGATCTAGTTTGAATTTGGCTTAATGCCTAAAACATTTGACTGCTAACCAGAACGTTGGCAGTTCAAACCCACCAGCAACTCCGTGGAAGGAAGACTGGTCAATCTACACCTCAAGAACCCAAAGAAGGTTGTTATGAGTCCAAATTGACTTAATGGCAGAGAGTTTGGTTTTGGTTTAAGTTTGATTTTTTTTTTTTTTTCTTGTCATTTGTTCTAGTTTGACTTTCCATCTGAAGCTGAGACCACATTCAGCCTTTTAAAGTATTTTCCCCTTGATTTGGGATAATATTTACAGCTTTTTATTTTACAAAATTATTTTTTGCTACCAGAAATATTGCTGGCGTAGGGCCTAAGGCATTTGACTGCTAACCAGAAGGCTGGAGGTTCAAACCCACCAGCCACTCCTCAGAAGGAAGGTTGGGCAATCTACTTCTATAGTGATACTGCCTCGGAAACCCAAGGAGGGGTCGCTATGAGTCAGTCCTGACTCCATGGCAGTGAGTTTGGTTTTTTGGTTACCAGAAATATTTATAATGTAGTTTATCATTTTATAGCTCTCACCTTACATGTTACATGTATTCTAGGACTATTTTGTATAATTTTTGAGGACTGAATATTATAAATGTATGTGTTTTGATTTTTAAGTTAGAGTAATGTTGGTCATTTAATAAACTAATAATTTATCTATTTGGTGACATCAGTGATATAAATATCTAGTCCATGCAAAAAAGAAAAAAATATTTTTGTTCTTTTAAAACTGTAGTATCTAATTTCTTATTGCTCTTTACAAAAATACACTTGTACAAATCATGTCTGCACACTATTTTTAAAGATTTTTACATTTCAAATCAAATGAATTTCCAGAAGAAATTCTGAAAATAAGCACAGATTTTGTCAACATGAGATTGTGTTTTATCTTCATTGGAAAGCACAATTAGAAATAGGAAAAGTATAATTTTCACAATATTATATAAAATATGATTTATATTTTTAGCCAATAAAGGTATCCTGGTTCTAACACATAACCATCGCCAAAAATAAAACAGAACAAAACCACAACAATAACAATAACCTCTCTAATAAAAGTTAACACTCTTTCTGCTGCCATCACTGTAGATTAGAAATCCCTGTGGTTACCACTCATTCTTTAGACTGCATCAGCATGTCTATGAAAAGCAATGTCTAAAAGCCAGGTCATCCAATGACCTTATAAAAATGCTATATGAAGGGCCTATCTCTCTTGCACAGGGAAATTTTATATTTTGGGGGAGTTACTAATTGGCTATTTCTAAAGAAGTTATGCATTCCAGTTATGTTTCGCATGGGCAAAATCCAAGGTTATAGTTCAATTTTGAAATAACTATTTTTTATCTTATCCACTGTTTGGGAACTTACCAGACTCATGAGAAATTGTCTTGACAGTGAGCAACTTCACACTCTCTTTATCAGACTGAGGTCTATTTGGAACAGAAGACATGACGTTAGCACCACAGTAATTAGCATTGTATGCCTGTGAAAGTAAGTGAATGTGATAAAAACAAAATGGCAATGGATTTCCATTACAAAACTTTTGTCTCTTCACACAGAAAAACACATAAACTATTATAACACTTTCTACTTCTGATTCCTTTTTCTCTACTACAACAATGATCACTCATAAGCCAAACATCAATGTAAGTCATGTGATCCAGCTGTCATAAAGTCCACATTGTACATGTCTCCAGCTCTAAATTATGAGGGGGAGACATGGACATATTTTCAAACCTTTGGGTGGATGCTGGGTTTGGGGGAATATTCCTTTTCATGAGGTCCTAAGATCCTGCAGTGCAATGTATGAGCTGTCCATCTGTCTATTCTAAACAGGCGTTCCCACCTGTCTTAATTATCTAGTGCTGCTATGATAGAAATACCACAATAGGTGATTTTCACAAATTAATTTATTTTCTCACAGTTTTAAGAGGCTAGAAGTCCGAATTCAGGGCACTGGTGCTGGGGGACGCCTTTCTCTTTCTGTTGGCTCTAGGGGTAAATCCTTATCCCGGGGGTAAGTCCTTATCCCTTGGTTTCTTGGTGATCTTCAAGTGCTGTGGTATGTTTTCTTCCCCCATCTCTGCTTGCTCCTCTGTTCTAATCTGCTCTTTTTAAGTTTCAAATGTGATGGTTTAAAACACATCCTACACTGATATGACCTCTTAACAAACAAAGCAAGCCCATTCCCAAATGGGATTATAACCCCTGATAGGATTTAGAACATACTATTTTTTTTTTTTTTTGGACCACAGTTCAATCCATAATACCACCTAACCCTTTCTCATGCTCTAAAGAGTTTTGGCTCCCAACTCTTTTCCCTGGACATCTCAACAACCTCCATTTCTAATTCAGAAGGATAGGTAATGCGGGGATATTATTTCTCAAGTTGACAACCTGATGAACATACAAAAATATCCATATAAAGGCAGCCATCAAATCCAAGTTAATGAAGAAAACTTAGCAACAAAATTTGCATTTTCGCCATTGAAAAAAAATTGTCTTGTTGCACCACCTTAGTTATAAAGTTTGGCTGGATTACTAACCATTAATTTGACTTTATTTTAATAAAGTCAAAGCAAATAGTCAAGACAAAAACTCTTGTTGTTGTTTGTTGTTATGTGCCGTCGAGTCAAACCCGACTCATAGCGACCCCTCCTTGGGTTTCCGAGGCAATATCACTACGGAAGTAGGATTGCCCAACCTTCCTTCCGAGGAGTGGCTGGTGGGTTTGAACTGCCAGCCTTCTTTCTGGTTAGCAGGCGAGTGTCTCAGCCACTATGCTACCAGAGCTCCCAACAAAAACTCTTAGAGTAGCCTAAAGGTGCAGGCATAATTTTTCCCTATTTGTTGTAAACATACTGAAAATCCAGGAAAACTATTTTAAAACTCTAGATATTTTTTCTATGATATTTTCTTTCATAATTATATATCCATTCTTATTTTTAAATTCAATTTCTTAAAATAATTTTTTTCTTTTGATTTCCCATTTCACCACCTTGTCCAAACTTAAGAGTAATCTTTTGTTTCAGTTTTTGGAGTATCTCTGTTGAATAGAGAGAGCTTTGACAAATAGCTAGGCGAACTCCACATGTATTGCTTTCTATACAAATTTCTTTAAAAAGAAATGTACATAGAGGATCAATCATTTTCTTTATGTGAATGGTAGGGTCAAGGTTTCTAGAAAATAATGATAGAGGATTTACTTACTGATCATTTCCATTTTCTGGTGTACCTAGGAGAAGAGAAAATTATTAGAGTTACAAGGTTCTTGACTGCAAAACAAAATGCACTGAGGCTCCTGCTGGTTTCTCTGCAGAGACTTTGAATTTCAGCACTGATATTTCTATAACCAATTTATAATTTTTTATTCTCCATTGACTACTACCTCAGGTGTGATTAAAACTGATCCTGACATTCATAGGATGGTTCTAATTACCTGAACTTAGTTCTGGATTAGAAACTCTGATTCTTTTTTTGATGTTGTCGTTTGTTTTGCTTCTGGACTAATTTTGTTGTTATGATTTCTATGTGTAACTGTGGTCCATTATTTCACATCCCACAGACACCAGAATATGTCTCAATTTATTTCAGCATCTCTGGAAATAATTTACCTCAAAATATTATTATTGTTATTATCATTTAATCCGAGAATTGAATTTTTTACTTTATCTTAGACATTGCTCTTTCTTGGCACACAAATCGCTATATTGTGGTGTGCTATCATGCAGATATTGCTTCTAATTACAGCTTAAGCCCACTGATTCAACCTTTCAAAAGTGTCCTACAAAATGTCACTGAGGCTACTAACTGTAGCTAATCACTTCTATGCTTTTTTCAGGTTGCTTCACAAATGTCTCAGAGAAAATAACTTGGATTTTGGAGCATGGTCTTCCTGGAGTGGGTGTTGGTGGTCAAACCTTGCATTGCTGTCTGGCTATTTGTCAAAATTGACTTTCAGACATGTGTCAAAAAGAACTACTCATCCACACACACACACACACACACTACAGACACACACATGAGAGAGAGACAAAGAGAGAGAGAGAGAGAGACTTGGTATGATATTGTTCAGGACCACAGGTACTTTCGTCATTACACTAATTACAAAAGTATAAAAAAAGTGCAGTGAATTAAGTCTTGATTCAGAATGAGTTACTTAATATCAATAGGCTGCATTTTCTGATGTCATTTATACATACCTTTTTATTCTAGTCTAGTTTCACAGTGGTTAGAGAATTTGGCTGATAACAAGCTCAGCAGTTTGAAGCCACCAGCCACTCCCAGAGTGAAAGACGAGGTGGTTTGCTTCCGTAAAGATGTATAGCTTTGAAAACCTTTTAGGGCTAAGACACTTGCCTGCTAACCAGACGGCTGGCGGTTCAAACCCACCAGCCACTCCTCGGAAGGAAGGTTGGGCAATCCTACTTCCGTAGTGATACTGCCTCGGAAACCCAAGGAGGGGTCGCTATGAGTCGGGGCCGACTCGATGGCAAACAACAACAACAACAACAACTCTGTGCTATAGGGTTACTAAGAGTCAGAATCACCTCAATTACAGAGGAATTTGTGTTTAGTCGAGTCTGTTCTAGCCTAGTCTATGCCACATTCAACGTCTTGCTCTCTACCACTGTTTTGACCAACAGCAATTAATGAAAACTTTAAAGATCAATAAAGTTAATGAAACAGTAAGCCAGTAAACGAAAAAGATAATCCACTAAAAATTCATTTAAATATATTGAAAATTGCTAAGGAGCTCTGGTGGTTCAGTGCCTAAGACATCTGACTACTAACAGAAGGTTGGTGGTTTAAACTTACCAGCCACTCCACAGAAGAAAGATGGTGCAATCTACTTCTGTAAAGATTTACCACCTCAGAAACCAGTAGGAGAGTGGGGGTCACTACTGGATGGCAGTGAGTTTTTTTGTTTACTTTTGGATAGTTATCAAATCTCTAGCATACTAAATATTTTCTTCATGAATGACATATGATTTGGCCAAGAAATCAAATAGAACAATAACAATATTCTTGTTGTTATTGTTAAGTGCCATTGAGTCATCTCCGACTCATAGCAACCTTATGTACAACAGAATGAAACACTGCCCAGTCCTGTGCTAGCCTCACAATGCTTCCCATACCTCAACCCATTGATACAGCCACTGTGTCAATCCAACTTGTTGAGGGCCTTCTGCTTTTTTGTTGCCCCTTCGCTTTACCAAGCATGATATCTTTCTCCAGAAAATGGTCCCTTCTGACAACATGTCCAAAGTAGGTGAGATAAAGTTTGGGCATTGTTGCATTTCAGCTACACTTCTTCCCAGACAGGTTTGTTAGTTCTTTTAGCAGTCCATGGTACTTTCACTATTCTTCGCCAGCACCACAACTCAAAAGCATCAACTCTTCTTCGGTCTTTCTTACTCATTGTCCTGCTCTCACATGCATATGAGGTGATTGAAAGTACCATGGCTTGGGTTAGGCTCACCTTAGTCTTCAAGGGGACACCGTTGATCTTCAGCACTTGAAAGATGTCTTTTGCAGCAGATTTGCCCAATGCAATATGTTGTCTGATGTCTTGACTGCTGCTTCCATTGGTGTTGACTGTAGAACCAAGTAATATGAAGTCTTTGACGACTTCAATCTTTTCTCCATTTATCGTGAAGCTGCTAATTGGTCCAATTGTGAGGATTTTTGTTTTCTTTATACTGAGGTGCAATCCATACTGCAGACAGTATTCTTCAATCTTCATCAGTAAATGCTTCAAGTCATTCTCAATTTCAGCAAAGTTGTGTCATTTGCATATCACAGGTTGTTAATAAGTCTTCTTCCAATCCTGATGCCATATTTTTCTTCATATAGCCCAGCTTCTCGGATTGTTTGCTCAGCATATAGATTGAATAAGTGTGGAGAAAGGATACAACCGTGACACATTTCCTTCCTGATTTTAAACAATGTAGTATCCCCTTGTTCTGGTCGAACGACAGCCTCCTGATCTATGTACAGGTTCCTCATGAGCATAATTAAGTGTTCTGGAATTCCCATCCTTCTCAATGTTATCCATAATTTGTTATGATTTACACAATAAAATGCTTTGCATAGTCAATAAAACACAAGTAAACATCTTTCTTGTAGTCTTTGCTTTCAGCCAAAATCCATTTGACATCAGCAGTGGTGTCCCTCATTGCATGTCCTCTTCTGAATCCAGCTTGCATTTCTGGATGTTTCTCTGTGAATACACTGCTGCAACTGTTTTTGAATTATCTTCAGTAAGATTTCACTTGAGTGTGATATTAATAATGTTGTTCAATAATTTCCACATTCTGTGGGATCACCTTTCTTTGGAATGGGTACAAATATGGATCTCTTCCAGTCAGTTGGCCAGGTAGCTATCTTCCAAATCTCTTGACATAGCCAAGTGAGTGTCTCCAGCACGGCATCTGTTTGTGGAAACATCTCAATGGGTATTCGGTCAATTCCTGGAGCCCTGCTTTTTGCCAATTTCTTCAGTACAGGTTTGCCATTGGTTCTTGATCATCTGCCACCTCCTGAAATGGATGAACATCAACCAATTCTTTTTGATACAATGACTCTCTATATTCCTTCCATCTTTTTTTGATGTTTCCTGCATCATTCAATATTTTGGCCATAGAATCTTTCCATACTGAAACTAGAGACTGGAATTTTTCTTCAGTTCTTTCTTGAGAAATGCTTGAGAAATACTGACTGTGTTCTTCCCTTTTGGTTTTCTAACTCCAGGTCTTTGCACATTTCATTATAGTAATTGGCTTTGTCTTCTCAAGCTGCTTTTTGAAATTTTCTGTTCAGCTCTTTTATCTTGTCATTTCTTCCATTTGCTTTAGCTGCTCTCCATTCAAGGGCAAATTTCAGAGTATCTTCTGACATCCATTTTGGACTTTTCTTCCTTTCCTGTCTTTTTAAAGATCTCTTGTTTTCTTCATGGATGATGTTCTTTATATCATCCTTGAATTCCTCTGGTTTCAGTCATTGGTGTTCAATGCTTCAAATCTATTCTTTAGATGATCTCTAAATTCAGGAGGAATATAATCAAGGTCATGATTTGGCTTTCATGGACTTGTTTTAATTGTCTTCAGCTTCAACTTGGACTTGCATATGAGCAATTGATGGTCTATTACACAATAAGCTCCTGGGCTTGTTTTGGCCGAAGATACTGAGTTTCTCCATTGCCTCTTGCTGTAGAAGTAGTCAGTCTGATTCCTGTGTCCTTCATCTGGTGAAATCCACTCGCATAGCACCATCTGTGTTGTTGAAAAAAGGTATTTGCAATGAATAAGTCATTGCATTGCAAAATTCTATCATGTGATCTCCAGCACTATTTCTATCACCAAGGCCATATTTTCCAACTACCAGTGACTCTTCTTTGTTTCCAACTTTCACATGCCAATCACCATTGATAATCAACACATATTGGTTGCATGTTTGGTCAATTTCAGACTGCTGAAGTTGGTAAAAATCTTCACTTTCCCCATCTTTGGCTTTGGTGGTTGGGACGTAATTTTTAACAATAATAGTATTGACTGGTCTTCCTTGTAGGTGTTATTATCTTATCACTGACAGCATTGCACTTGTACTTAAGGATAGATCTTGATAGTTTCTTTGTGATGATGAATACCATGCCATTCCTCTTCAATTTGTCCTTCCCAGCAGAGTAGATCATATAATTGTCTGTTTCAAAATGGCCAAAATCAGTCCCTTTTAACTCATTAATGCCTAGGATATTGATCTTTATGCCTTTCATTTCATTTTTGATAGCTTCCATTTTTCCTAGATTCCTACTTTGTACATTCCATGCTCTGATTATTAATGGTTTTGCAGCTGTTTCTTCTCATCTTGAGTTGTGCCAAGCAAATGGAGGTCCCGAAAACTTTACTCTATCCACATCATTAAGGGCAACTCTACTCTGAGGAGGCAGCCCCTCCTGAGACATATTTTGAGTGCCTTCTGAGCTGAGGGGATCATCTCCTGGCACTATGTTGGACAATATTTCATGGCTATTCATAAGGTTTTCCAATAATATATTAGACAGTGTTTCACAGTTATTTTTCACTGGCCAATTTTTTGAGAAGTGGATGGTCTCTTCCTTCTTCCAAGTGTGTCTTAGTCTGGAAGCTCTGCTGAAACCTGTCCACCATGGGTAACCCTCCTGGTATTTGAAAACTGGTGAAATAGCCTCCAGCCTTATAGCAACACTCAAGCTAC